TCTATCGATCCCACTCTCTTTAGGAAAATCCACAACAACCATCTGATCGTTGTGCAAATCTATTTCGACGACATCATATTCGGTTAAACCAACAAGGACCTTAGTGATGGGTTTGCTAAGTTGATGAAAATCAAATTTAGAATGAGTATGATGGGTGAGATGAACTATTTCCTTGGTTTAGAAGTTCGTCAATCTCCTAAAGGAATTTTCATTTGTCAAGAGAAGTATATAAAAAACCTGTTTAAGAGATACTCCATGGAGAACGCACCTACTGCAAAGACACCAATGTCTACATCCTGCAAGCTTGATTCAGCCTTGATGGTAAATCTGTAAATCAGAAGCACTACAAAGGAATGATTAGCTCACGATTGTACCTTACAAATAGTCAGCCAGACATCATGTTTTCAATATGTTTGTGTGCATGCTTTCAAGCCAATCCAAAGGAATCACACCTCATGGTAGTCAAAAGAATATTCAAATATCTAAAAGGAACTGTTTATATGGGTCTATTCTATCCTGCTAAAGTCAATATCTGTCTCCAAGCCTTTACTAACTCAGATGCAAGCTCGACAGAAAGAGCACTTTTGGTAGTTGTCAATTCTTAGGAGGCAGATTGATTAGCTGGACTTCAACGAAACAAACATGTGTTTCAACTTCTACTGCTGGATCTGAATATGTTGCTCCCACTAGTTGTTGTTCTCAAGTGCTCTAGATGCAAAAACAACCGAGAGATTATGGATTCAAAATGCAACAGATCCCCATCTATTGTGACTCTAAGAGTGCAATTGCAATCTCCCACAATCCAGTTAACCACTCAATGACCAAGCACATTGTATCAGGTATCACTTCCTAGAAGATAATATTTAGAAAGGTCATACTGAGCTTAATTTTGTTCCTATGGATGAAGAAACTACACATGTGTTCACAAAAGCTCTGGATGAATCCAAGTTCTTACACTTTCTTAGACAACTTGGCATGCTTAATCCAAATTCTCTAGGCATTTGAAGGTTTTTTTTACAAAAAGTTTTTTTTAACTCCAAAAATATTTTACTTTAGCTTTATTTTAAACAAAAGAAAACTCCAAAAAGATTTTACTTTCACAAGAGAAAAGTACAAAAAATATTTTATTTTATGTATTTTGTCTTTACTTTAAACAAAAGAAAATACCAAAAATATTTTATCTTTCGTTTTTTTCCTAGGAAAATGCAAGTTGTTATCACAACTATGCAAATGAAGAAGGTTAGTTGCTCCACACTTTAATGAATTTTCAAAATACTAAATTTTGTTGTTCTTCAGTTTGCTTTAGTACATAACTAATATTGGTAGTTTAGTGACCATTAAAAAACTTCATTGTTATACTCTACTTAGAGTTATAACATACATCAACTGCTAATGTTATATGGGATAATATGAAGCAAACTCTAAGGCTTAGTTAAGCCAATGTGTTATAATATACTTGTGGCTTCCCAATCCTAGTGAACTCATGAGACAAAAACACAAAATTTTGTAGTTTGAGGGACATAAAAAGTTTTGCTCTGTGAATATCTATACCTTATAAAAAGCCTCTCCGTTAAAATAAACCGAGTCCAGTTTCAAGTTTATCTGCTTAATTTCTACACTTTAAGTCTAGTTATATATTAAATAAGTTATAGTTCAGGAGTGGAGTCAATATGTGACCTTTGAGAACTTGGCCAGTAAACCACTCGGGATATTGAAAATATGTCCACCTATAGTTTATTAACGCGGATCGGACCGGGAAGAAGTCCGGTACATGCGTTTTTATAGAAAATCATGGGCTCCATTAGCAGCCTTTGATATTCCGAGCACTCAAATGAATTTCTTAGAAAGATGCGAACTAAAGTATTAATAGAAACAAACTTAGAAATTTTTTGCTTTTTTATTCTATCAAAAGTTAGAGTTATGAGAAAAGATAAATCAGAAAATAAATAAAAAAAACACATTCAATAAAGTGTAGTTATACTCTTCGGTTAATTCTTATATATAGTATTTTCTCTTTAAAGTCGTGTCACTTGGAATTTGGCGACACTTTTTAAAACGAAAGGGGTAAATAAAAGGGTATAGGTGGTAGGAATGTCAAAAATGAATGTTGTTCAAAATAAGTGGGGAACATTTATGAGGATTGTCAGTATTTAGGCTTTAAGAAGTAATCAGACCTTAGACACAAATATATGCATTACGGTGAGACATAATTGGTGAGTTCAAAATGGGTTGTTCTATGTGATGTTAATGAGTTCAAAATTAATCAACAAAGGAAATTCTTTACAATGCGAAGTGAAGGATCATACGCAGAATTTAGTTGATTGATAAATCTGTAAATGATAGCAAGATAATATACAATGCTTCTAAATTTGTCATCCTTTTAAGTTTTAATTTTTATTTATAATTATTTCTTCCACATGCACACACTTCACCGCATTTTACTATTTCCTTCTCAAATTCTCTATCCACATGAACACACATTACCATAAAAGTTAGATTATTTAGTGTTTGAATTTTTCATACTTTCTGTTTAACTTATGCCTTAGAATCTAGGTAAAGTAACTAAGTTAGATAGAGAACATCACTTACTTGATCATGGGACGCCGTTAGCCAAGTGGAACATCTTATGACAAGTGGATCATCCTCTTCAAGAAAAACATATGTGTTGGTCATGGTTTATGGAGCATTCTCGTATATAGTGAAGAAGGAAAAGATCAAAAACTTTTAAGGACATTTGTGAACCATCTCAGACCAACTGGAAGCATATTGGATCAACTTCATACACTTAGACCAACATGGAACAACTTCAGTTACATGGACCAAATTTGGAGTAACTGCATTCAACTAGGAGCATATCTTAGATTCTCTTGTAGCAACTTCATTAGCTTGGACCAACTAGAAGTACTTTGGAGCAACTTCACAAACTTGAAGGATCTTGGACCATCTTCATCCAACTTGGAGCAAATGCATGCACCTGGACCATCTTGGACCATCTCCACTTCCTTGGACCAACTGGATATATGATTGAAGCATCTTCTTTCTTCTTGGATCATCTTGGACCATCTTCACCAACTTTTGGACTCTTCAAGTTTAGGTTCGCTGAATTTTTCCAATTTCTTCACAAAGATACAAGTCATAAGCCAAGATTTTTTCGCAAATTTTTATCTAAAATCTATTGATTTGTCCGAATTTGCAGTCATAATTGTCTGATTTCGTAGTCAACCTAAAGATTTCCTAGTCAAAACTAACTATTAAAAAAAATCTACATACAAATCCCATATGAAATGAGAGCATTTCATAAATGAATTATAATCCATTTATGAAATTGGACTATGTGTACTTCAAATAATGATTTCATAGATGGAATGAAAACATTTCATAGATGGAATGAAAACATTTTATAGATGAATCCATCTATGAAATGAGGCTACCTTGTTGATATTTATGGTTCAAACCATGATTTCATGGTTGGTTATTGTTGATTTTAAAGATGGAAAATCCATATGTAAATGTACAAGTCTTGGATGCAAAAATGTACATAAAATGTTTGTATGTTTGCAGATGGAATATTCGTTTCATAGCTAATCTTAATCCATTTGTGAAGTTGATGGCTATTGTATATAATTTTGAATTTTTATTACTTTTTATAATGTAATTAACAAATTTGGCTATATTATTAATTTTCTTTTATTTTTCACTAAATTAAACTTCAAATATAAAATGTCGGTAAATCGTTTTATGAGTTCAAAATTTTAAGTTACATAAATGGTCCTTGGCAATTTAATAGTTTATGCTCTTTAAAAACGAATATTCTTTTCGGTTGGAAATAAAATTTACAAAGATGGTCCCTGTAAGTTTATTCATTTTAATAAACTGATAGTTCTTTTTAATATTATTAATCTGATTTTAGAAAGATAAGTTTTTGTATTTTAATGATTCAAATATTTTGACTTTTGAGTATTAGAATAAACGGGTGAAATTTTATTATGAACAACGTAATTAATATAATTGATTAATTGTTATTTGAGCGAACGAGAAACATAAGTAGTTGAATCAAAATGAGCATGTATGTATGATATTTTTCTAGGATCATTGAAAATTGTTGGTCGAATAGTGTGACAAGATTCAATTAAGATCTGACGCCAAAAATGTGAGTTTTCATATGTTGAGGTTACTTGTACATAGATTTTTATCATGCGATTTATATGTGTTTTTATTTATTTATTAATAGTACGATTTATGATAAATATGGTTGTGTGTGAATGTTATTTTGACTCGTTTAATTATTGTGTGATTTATTGGGATGACATAATTAGTGACAATGGATGGAGTGTTTAATTGTCGTGAGCATGATGGATTTGTGTAATCGGTCGTAATAGAATTGAGAATTATACTCATTTCCTAAATTGTGTCATCGGGTGATATGTTTTATTGCACGATTTATTGGAAATATATGATAATACAATTTATTTTTAAGTGATAAATATGTATATGTAACACGAACTCACTATACCCTAGACTTATCTATTTAAAAACTTTAAATTTATACAACCTAGGAAACAATGTAGCAAGTGGTAGTGGAAATGTTAGGGAGAAGGATTAATCAAGAACACCACAGAGGAGTTCCTTAAAGACGTAATAAATGAAGCTATTCGATTGAAGACCTTATATAATTTTTTATTGTTTTCGATATAGTTTAGTCTATAATTAAGTGTTGGAATTGATCTTGAGAGATGTTGGAACGATTATTCGTTGTTTAATCGATATATGAAAATTGGAGTATTACAATACACAACTATTATTCTTTGTGGGGTAAATTACACCGTTGGTCCCTCGTGCACATACCAGAAAGCATGTTTAGTCCCTATTTCCAAAATTTAACTCGTGCAGTCCCTCGTTGTTATTTATCTTGCACGATTAGTCCCTATGCACGTTAACTGTTAAATTCTTCCGTTTAAGCTACCCACGTGCCTTGCACTCAGGGGCATTTTCGTCTTTTCAGGGTTTGTATACATGAACCAGTATGGCGCGACTTCGATAACCGATCATTTCTCATTTCATCCTCCGTCGACCCTTAGCATTGCACGAGAAAACCCTAGTTTTCTACGATGGTGAACTGGAGGATTAGGCAAGAATGGGAGGAATACGATCTCCAAAGCTCATACGGTAAAATTTTCTACATTTTCAGTTGATCATCCATTATACGTTCCTAAAACGTAATTTTTTTTGGGTTCGCAGCTGACAATCCATGTATGTTCTCGATACGATTGAACTATGGTGGAGTTTTTACGAAGTTTCCAGGCCGCAAATACATAAAGGGGAAAATGAAATATATTGATGGCATTGATAGTGACTTGTTCTCGGTGCATGATATGGACGAGATAATGGTATTGCTTGATTGTGTGGAACCAGGTAAAAGTATTTATTATCATTTCAAACGACCAACCTGGGATTTAGATTTTGGGTTGTATGCTTTGGGTTGTGACGAAGATATAAACCACTTTAGGTCATACGTGTATGAACACAAGGTGATAGAAGTGTATACAGAGTTTTGGGAAACCAAGCTGCATACGTATCAAATGTCCCCAAACCCTGCAAAGATAAAGATACACGAAATTCCTGAGTCCCTTTGTCGTAAAAGCTTGTTATTGACATGGTCAAATTCAAGGGATTGTCCTAGTGAAGAAGCCCCTGTTTTTGAGAATGTAGAAACTATGGACGAACCCCCTAGTACATTACTTGAAACAACCTTGGAACAACCCCTTGTTACATTGAGTGAAACAGTTGAGTCAACCCCTGCCTATATACCAAGAATTGAAAGCCCTTTGACTGAACCAATGATAGGAAGCACATGTCCTAATGTTGATGGTTGGGATGAAACATTTGAAGGGTGTGAACCTTTTGGTGGGACTCCTATGGAACAAGATGAACCAAATAGTGAAAAAGCAGGTGAAGACAGTCAAGCTAGTAAAGACAGGCATGATAGTGATGACACTGAAGATAGTGAATACAGTCAAGATAGTGATTACATAGTTGATGAAGATAATTTGTTAGATGATCCAGAGGTTGATATGAAGAACTTTCACCTCAACATTGACAAAGAGGTGGAATGGGTTGGAAGTTTTCCTGATGATCGAGATGAAGCAGTAGAAGGTGATGAAGAATTAGATGTTATAAACACTGAAGAATTTGTATCTGCATCTTCATCAGATGAGGGTGAAGCTAGTAAAAAAAGGAAGAAGATAAGAGATTTACGAAGAGCACATAAGAATGAAGCAGCTGCTGTCAAAGATCCATTTTACATCCACCAGACTTTTAGCACAGCCAAGGAAGTTAAACAACAAATTTATCTTCATTCCATACAGAGTAGAAGGGAGTTAGACTTCGTCAAGAATGACAAAAATAGGATTAGAGTGGTTTGCAAAGGGACAATACCAAACCTTGGGATATTAGAAACAGGTGGGACCAGCAAAAGTAATGACAAAGTGGGACCAAGTCAAAAGAAAAAGAAAGTGAAAGATGGTTCTATTCATAAATGCCCATGGGTCCTACTAGTGAGTAAATGGAAAAAAGACATTAACTGGACTGTTAAGACCTATGAAAAGCAACATACGTGCCTTCAAACAAGGAAAATTAGGGCATGTAACTACAAGTTTCTCTCTGAACAGATTGTTGACACAGTGGAGGCAAACCCAGAAATACCACTTAGAGCATTACGTGAGATGCTTGAGAAGAAATACCAACTTGGATTGTCAGACATGAAAGTTCATATGGCGAAAACGAAAGCCCTGGAATCAATTAGGGGAGATTTTGCTGCTCAGTACTCATGTCTAAGAGACTACTTACAGGAGGTGCAGAGTAGAAATCCAAACACCACAGTCAAACTTCAAGTGCAAAGTGAACCATGTTATGCATCTGAGACCAGGGTATTTGAATGAGTATACATTTGTCTTGGTCCACTGAAAAGTGGATTTGCAGCAGGGAAAAGAGATTTACTAGGGCTTGATGGTGCATTCATGAAGGGTCCATACCATGGTATGATCTTGACAGCAGTGGTATGTGCATAATCATATTTTAGTATTTGATAAATGTTTGACCATAGTTAATTGTTTGCTTATTACTGTGTTTGACATGATAATTCAGGGTTTAGATGGGAACAATTGCACATACCCTTTGGCATATTCAGTTGTTGAAGCAGAGAACTTTAATTCATGGACCTGGTTTTTAACTAGCTTAGGAGATGATCTTGGTTTGTATGCAAACTCCAACTTCACTTTCATATCAGATAGACAGAAGGTAAATAAAGTTCTCCATTCATTTTCACATGCATGTTTTACAATTCAATAAGCAACTTCACTCTTTTGATGATTTAGGGGTTATTGCCTGCACTTGAGAAACTTTTCCCAGCAGCAGAGCATAGATATTGCCTAAGGCATCTTCATGAGAACATGAAACATAAATGGAGGGGCAAGGAATTCAAGGATTGTCTTTGGAAATGTGCAACATGTACCACCATACCACAATTCAACAGTGTCATGGAAGAACTAAAGAAACTTAACAGTGAAGCATATGACTGGCTTAATTCTATTCCACCTAATCACTGGTCCAGATCCCACTTCTCAGGTATATAATATTATGTTTATAAGTGTATAATTTTTAAATATAATCTAATACAGTTGTGTTTTATTAGGGAGGGCACATTGTGATGCTTTGTTGAATAATATGTGTGAGAGTTTGAATAGCAAGATAGTGAAGGGTCGTGATAAGCCAATTATCAGCTGCTTGGAGTTTATTAGGGAGTATATCATGAGGAAAATTGTCATGGTTCAAAAAGAAATTGATAAAGCTAATGGCCCATTAACTCCTACAGCCACTAAGACCCTTGAAAAAATTAAAGAAAGGGCAGTACAGTGTAGGGCAGTGTTCTGTGGCAATGGGAAGTACCAGGTTACAAGTGAAGGTACTAATCAGTATGTGGTTAATATGGACCAACAAACTTGTTCATGTAATAGGTAACAGGCATACCCTGCAAACATAGTATAGCAGCTATATGGGATATGAGGCTCAATAATGAAAATGTTGGAATACCTGAGACATGGGTACACCCAACTTATTGTCTCAAGACTTGGAAAGAAATGTATGTCTTCAAAGTTGAACCTATTAATGGGAGGTTATTGTGGGAAAAAAGCACATGTCCTACCAAGTTGATACCACCAAAGTATCGTGTCCCTATTGGCAGACCAAAAAAAAAGAGAAGAAGATCTGCAACAGAAGATGATGGAGTGTCCACAAAATGGAAATCTGTAACATGCACAAAATATGGAAATGTGGGCCATAATGGAAGGACCTGCAAGGGACAATCACAGACTGGGAATGGAACAGGAGAAGGTGCAACAGGGAATACAACAGGAGAAGGTGCAGCAGGTAGCAGTGGTGGTGTACAAAATGGAGTTAGGAACAAAGGAAAAAGCCCCATGCTTTGAGAATTTGTAGTTTGGTATCATGATCATGAAGGATAACTATGTTTTTGTTAGGCATTTATTGCCATATTACTTTGTTGTTATGTTTTGTATTTTGATACTTTGTTGCTGTCTAGGATAACGATTTGTATGCCATAACACTATGTTGTTATTTTGGATGTCCCTTTATGTTAATGGTCAATGGTTATCTTGGATATTTTAGTTTTTGTCCTTTTTAATTGTTATATTGGATGCTACATGTATTGAATGGTATATTGCATATGTTGAAAATACCACATTTTCATTAAATTTGAACACCAACTGATAACACCACATTATGATTACACAATATATTGTAACTAAAATTGAAATTTTTTTGTTAATACAAATAACATTACAAAATACACATACCAAAATATTAACAACTTCATTACTAAACCTACACTTTATATATAAGGACTAAAACAAAAAAAAACCCAGCTAATAACTAGGTAAAGCTTCAATTTGCGATTTTGTTCTTCAAGTTTCATCCTAAACGCCATACAATCACAGTCCTGATCATAATCATTCACCCATCCTATGAACTTGCATAATGGTCCCTGAACCAATTAAAGTAGATGAAGAATTAGGGCAAAATTAGAGAAGACGAAGAACGAAATTGAAATCATTAACCTTACCTTTACTGTACAAGCATAATAGAGTTTCTCAGGGTTTCTTTTGCTATAAGATGTGCGAATCACTGCAGTGGCTCCACAATTGCATTTAATATCGATCATTGTTATGTATTTGGAAGAAATCGATCGAACGAGGGGAAGAGACGAACGAGAGGATAGCAGAGGAAAAGAGGGTTGCAGTGTTCTTTATAAGATTTAAGGTGTAACGGCATTAAATATGGACACAAACCCTAAAAAGACGAAAATGCCCCTGCGTGCAAGGCACGTGGGTAGCTTAAACGGAAGGATTTAACAGTTAACGTGCATAGGGACTAACCATGCAAGATAAATAACAACGAGGGACTGTACGAGTTAAATTTTGGAAATATGGACTACACATGCTTTCTGGCATGTGCACGAGGGACCAACGGTGTAATTTACCCTTCTTTGTGAGTTGTCACTTATTTACTCATTTTATGTACATATATGTTTGTTATATAACCATATTTTATGATTTTAAATAACACTATGTTTTAACATATATATAATTGTGTTATTTCCCAATATATTAAATTGTATATTTTATCGTACAACATTATAACTTTATCATTAATGTCAACTTAAAGAAGAATACTTCAAAACATTTTACATATTAATTTAAATAACGGTAAAATGGTTATGAACAAAACATTCAAAACATCTTTCGCGATTTTTTATCGGAGATATTTTTTTATTTGTGGAAAATACTCTTTTACTTTGATCATGATCCACCACTGAAACATCAACTATTATATACAAATAACTGTTAACATATGTTATTTATTATTAATAATTAGTTTTTCATTATTGTGTATATTTATTGTTATTTTAATTTATGGATTATAATCTAGTTTTATATATTTTATATATATATAAGTTTGCTTTCCTCTATATGTTTATATGTTTAAGTAATGTTTAAACAATGTTTTTTACGCCGCTATGTTTACTGTTTCTGAATCTTATCTTATAGTTTTAATAAAATAACAAGCCATATATTAATATCTCAGTCAACTCAAATCAAACAAAATACAATGAACCAAAAATGTTCAGTTATTTAAGTGATAATAAATATTTAACAAAAATACCTTTTTCGAAATGCATGTATTAAAAAATTACTTCTTTAGTTGTCGTGTTATGGGTAACTGCATTTTAAAAAAGAGAAATTAAATTGATTATAGCGGATATATCATATATCAAAGGTGTTGTGGCTTCATGTGATTGAGCCATGTGGTGTTGAGTAGACGTCGTCGTTTGATTATGCAAACGGTCACTTTCTTAGACCTAACAAGCATTATTATAATCTAATAAAATCTTGCTACGATTGATCATTTTGTACGCGTTAGCATCCATGTTGCTTAAAAAAATTAAAAGGTTTATTAAATGTGTTCTTTTACTATAAAAGAATATTATAATATACATATAAAATAAAAATAATAAGATGGATGCTTAAATAGAATTAAGTCAAACTAATTTTGTGCAATTTAAAATTAAATGTCTGCTAATGACCACACAACTTTTTTGATACCACATAATAAAAAGTTGCATACTCAATATATTTAATTTATGTTCCAAATTTAATTAATTGATTCGATATTAGAAGTTTCAAATGAAGCACAAGCTATATATATATATATATATATATATATATATATATATATATATATATATATATATATATATATATATATATATATATATATATATATATATTTCGCACAATATTTTAACATTTATAAATTCGGACGGCTATATAAAATTGGTTTTTAAATATTTTTTTATATTTTAATATTAATATTATTATTGTTACAAATTTCGAACAAAATTTTAAAAATCGGATATTATAAATTCGAACGGTTATATAAAATCGGAAGCATTGTATAGTGCTCTACTAAATTTTTTCAATCCGTATAACGCACCACATAATTTTAATACCGTACCAATTAATATCCATAATTAATAGAGACAAAATTTACTTTTATTCAGATTTTACATAGTCGTTCAAATTTATAATGTTTGATAACCGAATTGTTTCACGATGTTCTAAACCCAACTCACGTACCACTTTAATCGGCGAACAACCGAACCCTTGGGACCTTCTTAAACCCCAGGATATGACGAGTTTATAAAATGTTATTCGAAATTTTTAATAATAATAAAATATAAAAAAATATTTAAAAACTGATTTTATATAAGCCATTCGAATTTATGATGTCGCCTGATTGTTAAAATGTTGTGCGAAATTTAAATATATATATATATATATATATATATATATATATATATATATATAATATATATATATATATATATATATATATATATATATATAATAACAATAATAATATTAGTAATAGTAATAATAAATTAAAAAGGAATTAAAAACAACAAAAAAACAAAATGGAAAAAAAAAAAAAAATCAAATCAACGAGTGGAATTAGAAAATGAGGGGTACTTATAGATACCCCATTTTACTAACTATTGTGTGTCAAAATGCATACATCTGGACCAACCGATGAAATTGATCAATAGATATGATTTGAGAATTGAGAGTGTATGATATTACAATGGAATAACATGTACCATATAATCACACAAATTTTAGCAAAATGACATTTTGGACAATTAACTACATTTATAAAAGAAATTTTTTGAATTTTTAGGGATAATTAATTCTCCTAATTTTAAAATTTTGATTTTTTTTTTAATTAATTCAATTTTAATTCTAACGTAATTTGTAAACACAACCGATTTATTCCGTCATAATATTTTTTTTGTTAGAATGATGGTCTTGTATAATTTTATTTTATTAGAATACTACTAAAGAATAACAAAATTCTTGAATCTGAGGTTGAAAAATAACAACATTCTAATATATTCTTATATATCCGAACTTAAATAAAAATTTATACATATTCTTACACACTTAAAGCCTTATACATTTTAATATAATTATACATATTTTAAAAGAATATCAACAAAATGAATAAAATTCTTAAATTGTGAGTATGATCCAACTTTATTCATTCTTTAAAATTATTCTTATTAGATCTTCAACGCATTCTTCCAGTCATTCTTATCACAAATACAACAAAAACCAATAATAGTTAAAAACATGTTACTTGCAGTTAACTATCAATTTATATATTCTGGTAAAATATATAGAATACATTCTAGCAGAATATAGAGACTTTTATTCTGATAGAATACATAAAAGAATGTTTTTTTTTCATGGAGGCCTGAACAATGATTAATAAGTCTGCATAAAGAAAACTTTAATTGTAATGGATGGTTAGAATGTAGTAGACACTAACGAATTGTAATTTATTCTAATAGAATATAATCCTCAAATAAAATCACTATTAACAAATTTATATATTCAAGAGATTCAAAAAAAAAAGTTCTCATTTTCTTTCTTCATCGTAGTAATAGTGGGTGCCTTGAAACCCTATGTCTTAAATTTCTTCCATTGCATCATTACCAAGAAAATGAACATCATTACCAAGAAGTTCAACAAGAGTTGGGTGGTGGTTTACCAAGGCAAGTAATGGCTAATATCAATCCAGGAAGTCCCGCATCACTTCCCACGTCTACAAGATTGAGGTTTTCACATGAAGATTAACAATGCAAAATATATGAGCCCTGAATTCGGGGTATAATGGAAAGCGAATCCTCAATGTGTCTATGCATAACATCACTTGCCTCTTTAACTTTAGTAAGATTCATCTTCCACAAACCAGTAATCCATAAAGAGAAAATTATCACTTTGGATAAAAGCTTAATCTGAATACTTAAGTTAAATCAAGAATTATAAAGATGGTGACAAGTTTAACCTGGTTCCAATCGAGAAGAGCATCGATATAGAGTTGGACTTGTTGTTTCTATAGAGGATTTAGGGTGTCGAGGTGGGAGGCATTGACGATTGAGGATTTTGTTGATGCAAATCTTCTGCTTGTGACCATTGGTTTGAGATTTGAAGCGCGCTCAATGTGTTTGATGAAAGTCCCCAAAGATAGGGAGGCGGGGAAATTGAAGACTCTCTTCCGCAACAGCACCACCTAGGCGGCGTAATAGATCCGTTATATGAAGTTCGAACAATGAAATCCTTTAAATTGAAGACTCTGTAAACGATGAATATATATTCATCATTCATGTGTTTTTTTTGTTTCTGATTTCCATCTTGAAATATGAACTGCAGTTAAGCAATAGTGGAATGGAAGATAGCGGAATCCGGTTAGTGATGATGGTGGTCTGACAATGTGCGTGAAGTTAAAAAATCAAATAGTGGCCGGTGGAGATGAAGGAGGCGGCATGAAGATGATGGTTTCGGTTATA